TGCTCGCAAGGCAGGCTCGTTCCCAGCTTGGCGCCTCCCGCCCGTGCCACGTTTGAGCGGTGCCGAGAAGAGGAGCCTCTCGCGGAGCAGCAGTAGCTTCCAGGCGCGCTCCTCCGCCAAACTCCTGCGCGGCGCGCGGAGGACCGCCTTGCAGAGGGCCTCCGTGGCCTGCGCCGCCGCGGCCCGCGCCCCGCTGGGCACGAAGCGGAGCGTAGGGCAGTCCGCCGCCAGTTCGTCCAGCAAGTCCAAGTCGTCGAGGCCGCTCCAGCAAGCCGCTTCCAGGTCCTCGAGCGGCGGCGGCGGCGGCTGCTGCGCGTCGGCGGGAAGCGCCGCCGCTGCTGCAGCAGAGGCCCCGCGCGCGGCTGGCGCTGCCTGCCCAGGGGCGTCGCCAGCTCCAGGTGGGTCTCGGGCCCCAGCCGCGGGGGCGGCGGCGGCGCCCGCGGCGGGCGCGGGCTCGGCGCCCGGCGGCGCGACGGCGCCGGCCAGGGCGGCCGCGGCGGTGGCGCAGCCCCGGCAGAGCAGCGCCTCGCAGGCTTCGCAGTGGTGGAGCCAGCCGCCCCTGCCGGCCCCCTCGCCGCAGGCAGCGCAAGCTTCTCCAGGGAGCGTGCGCGAGGCGCGGAGCGGGCCCCCGCAGCCTGGGCAGGCCAGCGGCGCCCCCGAGGCCGGCCCTGGGTTGCTGGCCTCGCCGACGCGCACGCCGGCGTAGCCGCAGAGCCGCCTCAGCGGTCGGGGGTGCGGCTGCGGTCGCGGCGGAGCGGCTGCGCCAGCTGCGCCGGCCTGGCGGCAGCGGCCGCCTCCCTGCGGGCGCCGCGCAAGCGGCGAGCCGCCTCCAGCAGCGCCCTGTCGTCGCCTGCGTCCGCGCGGTCCAGGTCCTCCAGCAAGGCGTCCTCTTCGGCCTCCTCGGCTCGCAGGTCGTCCCAGTGCCTCCTCGCCTCTGGGCCGTCGCTCAGCAGGTCGGCGTCCGAGTCGGGCTCCTCCTGCGGCGCCGCGCGGGGTTCGGCGGCCCGCTCCGCCGCGGCCAGGGCGGCGTGCGCTGCGGCCATTGCCGCCAGCAGCGGCTCTGGCGCGCCTTCCCAGGCGCGCGCGCCGTTCTCGAGCCGGTCGAGCAGCTCGCGCGTGGCCCGCGCCAGCCCGGGAGGCTCCGCGGCTGCTTCCTGCGCTGGCGGTTCCTGCTGTGCCGCCTCTTCGAGGCGGAGTGCCGCCTCGGCTTCTTCTGCCTGCGCCCGCGCGGCCTCGAGCTCCTGTTCCGCCAGCGCCAGCGCGTCCGCTGCAGCAGCGGCCCTGGCGGCCGCGCGCTCGGCGGTCGCCCTCGCTGCCTCGAGGCGGTTTCCTGCCCGAAGCTGCGCCTGGCGTTCGCGAGCTGCCTGCTCCTCCCTCTCCAGAGGCGCCAAAGCCTCGGGAGGCGCGCCAGCTTTGCGCGCCGCGGCCGCGGCCTTCCGGAAGGCGTCCGCTTGGGCCCCCGGGCGCGGTCGTGCCCCCCGCGCTGCAGGGAGGGCTGGCCAGCCTGCGGGCCTGGCCTCGGCGTTGGGCCCAGCAGCGGCTGCAGCTCGGGCGGTTGCTGCGGCGGCGCGGGCGGGCGGCGGCGGCGGCGGGCAGGTCGCGGGAGCGCCGCCGCGTGCCCCGGCGCACCTGCGGCAGTGCGCCCGGTCGGCAAAGTTGGTCGTGCCGCAGAGGCACCGCCACTCCGCCTTCCGCGGGCCTCCGCCGCGGCCGTCTGTAGCCCCGGCGGCCGGCTTGCCGCCGAAGAGGTTGCGCAGGACCTCGGCGGCCAGCGCGACGTCCCCTCGCCCGCGGCCACGGCGGCGCTGGACGGCGGTCCATGCCATGGCACCGAGGGAGGGAAAAGAAGGAGAGAAAGGAGAAGTGGAAGGGCGAGCGAGGAGACGGCCGGGCAGTGGCTGCGCGCGACTCGAACCTCCTTCTGCTCCTCCTGCTCCTCCTGCTCCTCCTGTCCCTCCTGCTCCTCCTGCTCCTCCTGCTCTCCCCCTCCCCTTCCTCCTCCTCCTCCTCCTCCTCCCTCCTCCTCCTCCTCCTCCTCGTCCTCGTCCTCCCCCTCCTCCTCCTCCTCCTCCTCCCTCCTCTTCCTCCTCCTCCTCCTCCTCCTGCTCCTTCTGCTCCTTCTGCTCCTCCTCCTCCTCCTCCTCCTCTCCTCCTCCTCCTCCTCCTCCTCCCTTCCTCTCCTCCTCCTCCTCCTCCTCCTCCTCCTCCTCCTCCTCGTCCTCCTCGTCCTCCTCGTCCTCCTCGTCCTCCTCGTCCTCCTCCTCCTCCTCCTCCTCCTCCTCCTTCTCCACCTCCTCTCCTCCTCCTCCTCCTCCTCCTCCTCCTCCTCCTCCCCCTCCCCTCCTCCCCCTCCTTCCCCGCCTCCTCCTCCTCCTCCTCCTCCTCCTCCTCCTCCTCCTCCTCCTCCTCCTCTTCCTCCTCCTCATCCCCCTCCTCCTCCTCAACCTCCCTCCAGAGTGTCTGGGTGCGCGAGGAGCGCTAAGAGGAACAACCATGGGAGGGCCGAGGGCCGAAGGAGCAGCGAGCCCCTTTCCGAACCCGAGCTGCTCCTTACTTCAGCCTCCTCCTCCTCTTCCTCCTCCTCCTCCTCTTCCTCCTCCTCCTCCTCCTCCTCCTCCTCCTCCTCCCCTCCCCTTCCTCCTCCTCCTCCTCCTCCTCCTCCTCCTCCTCCTCCTCCTCCTCCTCCTCCCTCCTCCTCCTCCCCTCCCCCTCCTCCCCCGCCTCCTCCTCCTTCTCCTCCTCATCCCCCTCCTCCTCCTCAACCTCCCTCCAGAGTGCCCGGGTGCGCGAAGAGCGCTAAGAGGAACAACCACGGGAGGGCCGAGGGCCGGAGGAGCAGCGAGCCCCTTTCCGAACCCGAGCTGCTCCTTACTTCAGCCTCCTCCTCCTCCTCCTCTTCCTCCTCCTCCTCTTCCTCCTTCTCCTCCTATTCCTCCTATTCCTCCTCCTCTTCCTCCTCTTCTTCCTCCTCCTCCTCCTGTTCTTCCTCCTCCGCCTCGTCCTCCTCCTAGTCCCCTTCCCCCAGAGAGCGGCCCCTCCTTCCTCGTCCTCTTCCCAGTCCTCTTCCCCTTCCTCCTCTTCCTCCTCCTCCTCCTTTTCCCCTTCTTCTTCCTCCTCCTCCTTTCGAATGTACGTGCAGGAGTTGGCGGGGGGTGGGAGGGAGGGTGGGGGGTGGGGGGACAACATCGAAGGGGAGTGACATGCGGAAGGAACAACGACGAGGCGGAGCTGCGTGCGTCGGTGCACCGGCCGGGGGCGCGAGGCGCGCCCTGCCGTGGAGCTGCTGTCGCGCCTGCCTGGCGCCGCTGCCGTCCTGCAGAGCTGCTGCACGGCAGTCCGCATTCCTTGGACGCGTTGGGAGCAGGAGGCGGGCCTCAATTGCTCCCTCCCGTAGTCTATTGATCCGTTGTTTGCAGCCGCGGCCGCGTCTTTTTTACGCGGGCGGCCCCACATCGCTGTATTTTGCGATCTGATGGTAGACTAGCTGCCGACGTACAACACCCTGCCTACTTTATTCGACGTGCTATACACACTTAAGCAGTACTGCGACGTCAAGCATGGTGCCAGATTGATGTATCGACAAAAACACCTGGGTGTTTTTTTAGCTTGTTTTACTGTGGGCTATGGACAAGCCGGAAGCGCTAAACACCACGTCGGTGACTTGGCGCTTGTAGGGCATTGTGTTAGCGCTTTCTATTCTGTCGTAAGATCCAAGCATGGGGCGGGGTCTGAAGACTGTCTCCCGTGCGCAGAGCTGAAAGCTGTACAACACGCTCTGACACCTGTCTGACACCGCTGCGGGACAGGCCTGGAAGCATGAAGCATACGGCCCGTCGGCGGCGGGCTCCGACGATGGACAACGACAGACCCGAACACGCTAAACAAACTTCGTGATGTTTTCGTGTTCGGTTGCAGTGTTGAGGCCTGGCAACACCAAACACTGAACTCCGAGACGCCGAATTGAAAACGCATAACAAGCCGCCCGAGACAGATGTAAACTCAAGTCGGACGACTCGGCCTCTTCACACCGCGGGAGTTTTCACCATCAGCTACGGTTACTTCAAATGGTCGCAAGGGGGGTGTCATGGATCTGCACGGTGGCAGCAGCTACAAAGAATGATGCAAGGAAGCATTGCAGCATCGCCGCACGATGGTCGTGGGAAAAGGATGCACAGGGCGTGAGTGCACAGGAAATCGCTTCGATTGCACATGCGGCGCTGCTCTTACTGCATGTGGTGTGCGTGGGATTTTGCGGACGGGGCCACTTATACTTCAGGCGCGATAGCGATCAAGCAAGGGGCGCGAGGAATGAAGTTGTCGATCTCAGCGTGCAGTCCCGCTCCTCAGGGGGCGTGATAAACACTTCAGCTATTGCGAGGGATCGCGTGAAGGCGCGCCGACCGAGAAGTCCTTCCTTCGCGTTGGCCGACAGCATCGTTACCCACGAGCCAGCACTGCGATTAAGCACGCACACGAAGCTGGCCAATCAGAACTCGCATTCAAGGCAAGCGAACATTCGTGTCGATATGGGTATGTGAATCTGCGTTGGGCCATGGTGGGACTGTGGCTGACCCGATAGCACTGGCTGCATTCAGAAGAAAGGCTGGCGCATAGTCAATCCCAGATACTTCGACGGCCATGGAGACATGCCCGCCCCCCTCTACCCGCGCGCCAGGTACATGACATCTCCGAGCCAACATACCCACCACCACCAACAACGACAGCAGCAACAACAGCAGCACCAACAGCAACACCGATAATAACAACAGCAACATCAGCAGCAACCACAACAACAGCAACAACATTAACACCATCAACAACAACAGCAACAACAACTGGAAAGGGACATCGCGACATGACAAAGCGTTGTAAGATCATCGCGCGGCCTGGTGCGGCTGATCGGGACGCCTTCGTCCGTCCTTATACCAGAGCCGCGAAGAGTTTGAAACACAGGGGCTGGAGACGCGGTGGCTGCCCACCCTAGAGTCTAGCGCGAACGCCTACGACATGTCAGCGTCAGATGACGACCTCGGTGTGGCTGGATGGTTCGGCTGCTGCTGCTGCTGCTGCGAGAGAGAGAGAGAGAGAGAGAGAGAGCATGTATCGGTGGCGCGCAAGCATGGATTAGCGATCCATGGATTTGGCGCGCGGCCGCCAAGTCCATGGATCGGGGGAAATGCCCTCCCCAAAATGCGGCGGGTGCCGCTTCGCTCGGCGGCGGAAATCCGCGATTCTCAACGGAAACGGACCCGTCGCTAATCCACGCCCCCTCAATCCATGTTGGCGAGCGCCGGAATGTGTGCCCCCGCGCGGGACAAACGCTAAGTGAGGCTCAATTGAAGTGCGTAGTCTTGACGTCGACGGCCTTCCCAGAGGACGATACCGGCCACCGTCTGGCACCTGGAGGAGCGATGCAGTCCCTGTGCTGTCTAATTATCTGGGCTCCCGTGTTTCCAGCGGCCCCCGAACTCTCCAGGTGCATCGGGCACCGCCCTCTCCCGCCTCGTGCTCAGAGCCATTGGCGGCCCCAGGACCGTCCTGAGCACCGGTACGATGACCAAGAGAGCCCCAAGAGGGCCAGCCACGCTCACGAGGAGCCCTCCGACCAGCTCGTGGGAAGCCGGAGCCCTCCGAGGTCACCTGTTACAGCCCCCGGGGGTCCAGGGCAGAGAGGTGCCGCAGGCCACGTGCGGCCTTCCACAGGCCCAGAACAGAATGAGACAGCAATCCCTGCGGCGCTCGCGGGCCTGCAGAGGAAGCGTGCCGCGCACTGCAGGCCCCGAAGGGGGCCTGGGGGCGAGAGGAGCGCCACGCGTACATTCCTCAACGAACGCCCCCACCGTACGCCATCCAGAGTTTGGGGGCGGCCAAGAGGGGGCGTCCAAGAGGGGGGCGCAAACCATGGCCGGCGGCAAGTGCGCGGCCCAGGGGGGTGCCGGGAGCGCAATGAAATCAGAAGAGGCGCCATGAAATCTGGGGACCCAGACATGCGACGCCCTTACTTTTTTCAATGCGGGGCCCCTGGAAGTCCCGACCCTTTCCCAGGGACCAGTTTTTCCTCCCGAGTTGTCGTTTGGACGGTCCCGAGGCCCGGCGAGGGCTCCCCGAGGCCGAAAACTGGCAAGAGCCTCCCGCCCTGATCTTTTTCGCCTCTTGGCCGCTCCCGAGGAGCACGCTACTTTGGACGCCCGAAATGGGTACGGAAAGAATGGGTACAATGCCCAACAGCAGATGTTGCCCCGAACCAGCAGCGGCCGCTGTTGGGCGGGCGGCCCTCTGTCTCGAATGGACACAGGCCGCGGCGGCGCGGACAGCGGGTCCTGTTCAAGATGAGCAGGAACTGCTGCTGAGCATTGTACCCATTCTTTCCGTGCCCATCCAAAGGACACTCCGGAGGAGAAGGAGGAGCAGGAGGAGGAGGAGGAGGAGGAGGAGGAGGAAAAGGAGACGGAGGAGGAGGAGGAGGAGGAGGAGGAGGAGGAGGAGGAGGAAGAGAGGAGGAGGGGGGAGGAGGAGGAGGAGGAGGGGGAGGGGGAGGAGGAGGAGGGCAGTGTACCCATTCTCTCCCTGCCCCTTCCGGGCGTCCAGAGCTGCTGGCCCGGCCTCGGGGCGCCGCTCGCCCGGCCGCCGCCCTCGGGGCAGGGCACTCATCTCGCAGCCGCGAGCGGGCCACGAGGGGGGCCCCGAGCGAGCCCGGGGGTGGGCCTCCAGGCAAGCCTTAGGCCGCGCACATCCCCGACGCCGCCGCCCTCGGGGCAGAGCACGCCTTCGCAGCCACGAGCGGGCCACGAGGGGGCCCCGAGCGAGCCCGGGGGTGGGCCTCCAGGCAAGCCTTAGGCCGCGCAAGCCTTAGGCGTGCTCCTCGGGAGCGGCCAAGAGGGTGGTGATGACTCAGGGAGGGGGCGGATGTCATCCCCGAAAGGACCGCGACTCAATAAAGATCAGGGCGGGAGGTTTTCGCCAGTCTTCGGGCTCGGGGAGCCCTCGCCGGGCCTCGGGACCGTCCAAAGACGACCTGGGAGGAGAAACAGGTCCCGGGGAAAGGGTCGGGACTTCCAGGGGCCCCGCGTTGAAAGAAGTGAAGGCGTCGCATGTCTGGATGTGTGTGTGTGTGTGTGTGTGTGTGAGCATCCAGGGGGTTTCGGTCGCTGGCGGGCCCAGGGGGGAGTGCAGATGGGGGCTGGCCGTCTCAGAAGGCTCAGAAGGCCTCTGGCCTCCTGAAAAAGTTCCAAGCCTTCTCCGAAGACAGGGACGGCTTCTCAAAGAGCGCGAAGGCTACTGAGAAGCTCCGCCGCCTTCTGAGAAGGCCTGCACCGTCTCGCTTCCCCCCTGGGTGCGTCGCCAGTTCACGCAAGAGGACCCTGGGCAAGAGTGACCTTTGGTGCACGGCTTCAGGGGGCCGCTATGGGAGCCAAATCCAAGCACTCGAGGCGCCCCAATTAATGTTGGCGGGACCCTTGTAGACTCGCACCAGAGGTCACTCCGGCGATGGGACTTTTACGCGAAACCGGATCCAACTGGTTTCGCTCCCTGACCCCATCTTGAGACAACCCTCGGGCGCGGCCTAACCGACCCCAAGCAATCCTTCCCCTTCCGTGACGCCATCTTTGCCTTTCGAGCGAGGCGAGGCGATGGGGACGTCTTGGTGCGAGGCGAGGGGGACGTCACCGAAGGGGGATGGTCTGCCAGGGGTGGGTCAGGCTGCCCTGGGACCCCCCCCACTCAACGAACCCCCAGCTGGACGCCTGGCCACGGGGCGGGGCACCCCGGCGGCGCCCTTCTCCCCCAATGGCAACCAGGGGGTCGCCTGGCCGGGCGCCGTGACATGCCACGCAAACGTTCCCCACTGTAGACAACACGCAGCGGCTGTTCTCCCTTTTTGGGGGGTGCTAAAGGTGCCCCTGGCCCAAGGTTCCCCCTCAGCTTTTCGCTCCATTTCTGGGGCCCCTGACGCCCTCAGGGCCACGCGAGGGGTGCTCTGGAGGCCGTGGGGGCCTTCTCGGAAATCCTGGGAGCACCTTGGGCCAGGGGCACCTCTAGCAACGCCCGACCTTTCGCAATTGCAACTGGCGAGACTGCTGACCTCCGCACGCACGCTTCCGCACTTGCTGCGCAGCTTCCGCCGTGCCCACCGGCAAGCACGGCCCAGACACGCCATTCTGCGCCCGCGCGGCGAAGCAGAACACCCGGACCAAATCCCCAAGTTGCGGATATGGAAGGCAACCAGACCTGTTCGTTTCACCCACATCTCCACAGTCAACAACTTCATGCACAACCCCGCCAGCAAGTGTGCCGTGCAAGTCGGCAAGATCAGGCAGGCGAACGTCTCGTTCATACACGAGGCGAAACATACCGGGGCTTGGCCAGCGTAGAGACGAAACCCATCGAACGATGGACCTTATCCACCCGAACAGTCAAACCTGATAGCATGGATGCACGATGGGAATGCAAGGGCCTTGGAATGCCATGCCGACACCCTTCGAGCGGGGCGCGGCTAGTGAAAGCGGCCAGGGACGTGCCGATTGGGAGTGATGCAAGGGGAACCCTGGAAAGTCGCTCGTCCTTCTCACCAGTGCCGACTGTACTGCCAGAGAACGCCCAGTCAGATTCGGGCTGTGCAGTTGCAGGATCGGGGGATGCCGACTGGCTGCCGCCCTGGTCCTGGCCAGGCCCGCCCCGGGCCCAGAGATCCGGTGCAAGCGCCCTCCTGGCTGTGCCAGAGGGAGGTGTGCCCCGACCCAGCGTCTCGAGAGGGGCCCGGCCAGGACCGGTGAGGTGGTGGAGGAGGAGGAGGAGGAGGAGGAGGAGGAGGAGGAGGAGGGGGGGATAGCAAAGGGGGGGTCTGAGAATCAGCTCACGCAGCTGACTTTCCCGGCGCCCCCCGGCGCCCATGTAGTTATCGAGGAATGGGCCCGGCGGCGCAGCCAAAACCAGCTGCATATGCAGCAGATTTCGTCACCCCCGCTTTCTTCATCCCCCCCATTCGTTCGGCCCGATCAGTTTGAAGGGGAACTGGAACACACAAATAAATACACACAAATAAACATATCCCCCATATTTTCCCATATTTTCTGTGTTTCTGTCTTCCCCCCCACTTCCCATATTTTCCCATATTTTCTGGGAATCGCCGATTAATTGTGTCTGTGTGTTTTTTCCCCTCCTGACAGTTGCCGTCCCCAAACAGGACTGCGCATGGAACCCTGATGGGGCGATATCAGGAGATCCTCTCTCGCAAGCTACGACGGGGGCGCAGCCTCGCACTCTTGGCCGGAGGCACCATGTCGATCCTGAGCGGGCCGAGCCGGAAGTACTTCAGCTCCGCGTACTCCTCCGCATGGGCAGGGTTGCGCGTTCCGCAAGAGCCCCTCCTTCTCATGCCAGACTAAGCGGAGTGGGTATCCTACCTGTCACTCTCACGACGAGCCGCTGAACATGTCGAAGGCGCCCCAGCCCCGACGATTCTTTATTTTTTCCCACGGGGTCCTCGTGGAGGAGCGAGAGCCCAAATTGTTCTGACACAGTTCGTGCTGGCTGGCGGCCCACCTTTGGCACCGACTCTGAACTTCGGGCTCACGGGGCGCAGGGCAGAGAATATGGTACAGCCTGGCCCCACGTGCCTCCACGACCTCACCGCGAGGGGAACCACTCGCCCCCAGGCGCAGCCCGTGCCGCAACGCGCGCACCCCGGAAGGGCAAACTAGTGGGCACGTCGTCGGTGCCCCGCGCGGCACGCCCAGCTCTCTCTTTGCAGCCCCAGGGGCCCCCGCTGGGCCGGGAACTCCCTGGTGCGCGGAGGTGGCCGTGGGCCCCGCTTCGCACGCGCCGAGCTGCGAGCTCGGCCGGGGGGCAGCCCCCAAGGCCTGGGAAGGCCCCGGGGGGGAAAGGCGGCAAGAAGCCTCCCCGACCCCTCCTCCTCCTCGCCGCTCCTCGCCGATCCTCCTCCTCCTCCTCCTCCTCCGAGCTCCTCCTCCTCCTCCTTTCCTTTTTGTTGCTCGTGGGGCGCTCGAGGCCCTCTCGCTGGCCCTCCCGTGCCAGCCCTCCTCCCTCCCTCCCTCCCTCCCTCCTCCCTCCCTCCTCCTCCCTTCCTCCTCCCTCCCTCCTCCCTCCTCCTCCTCCCTCCTCCTCCCTCCCTCCCTCCTCCTCCTCCTCCTCCCTCCTCCTCCCTCCCTCCCTCCTCCTCCTCCCTCCTCCCTCCCTCCCTCTCCCTCCTCCCTCCCTCCTCCCGTGCCAGCCCTCCTCCCTCCCTCCTCTCCCTCCTGCCTCGGCGTGCGGAGGCCCGCCGGCGTGGCGGCAAGGGGCCCCCTGGGGGCCTGGCGCGGCGCAGCCTGCGCCAGAAGAGAGCCTCGTCGCCGCCGGATGCTGCCACCCGTTGCCGGAGGCAACGTTGGGCTCGGCGCGGTGGGGGCGCTGGTGGAGAAACGCGCCCAGGAGGCTTCAGACCCTGGGGGGCTTCCTCCGGCGTGGCGGAAAGGGGCCCCTGGGCCTGGCGCGGCGCAGCCTGCGCCAGAAGAGCCTCGTCGCCGCCGGGTGCTGCCACCCGTTCCGGAGGCAGCGTTGGGCTCGGTGCGGTGGGGGCGTTGGTGGAGAAACGCGCCCAGGAGGCTTCAGGCCCCCTCATCCAACAAAGGCGTCGGTGGTATCCAGGGCCACTCCCCGATCGGAGTTCCGCTGGCTTCGGTACGGTGGGGGCGTTGGTGGAGAAATGCGCCCAGGAGGCTTCAGACCCTGGGGGGCTTCCTCCTCCAATGAAGGCGTCGGTGGTATCCATGGCCGATCCCCGATCGAAGCTCCGCTGGCTTCGGGACCCCGGATTCCTTGTCCGCTGGTTCCTTATCCAATGCCCTCAGCGTAGTTTCTCAGTTTAGTTTAGTGCTGCTAGCAGGGACGGCCTTCCTCTCTCATCCCTGATTCGTGCCCCTCTGCCCTCCGCCTTCCTGCCCCCCCTTTTTTTCCGCCATCCCTCCTCCTCCTCCTCCTCCTCCTCCTCCTCCTCCTCCTCCTCCTCCTCCTCCCTCCGCCCTCCGCCCCTCCTGCCTCTCGCCTCCGCCCCTGGACCACACACGTGCCTCTCAGTGCGATGTCACTTCGCCTTGAAAGCTGGCCTCGGCCAGATGACCCGACCCACCACAGCCAGACGTGCGACGTCCTGATTTCTTCAATGCGGGATCCCTGGAAGTCCCGACCCTTTCCCCGGGACCAGTCCGTCATCCTGAATCGTTTTCTGACGGTCCCGAGGCCCGGCGAGGGTCCCCCGAGGCCGACCACTGGCAAACACCTCCCGTCGGTGGTACCCCTGGTGGATCCGTGCGGCTCGCCAGTCCGACGGATAGACCACCCCAGGGGCGCAGGAACGATTCTTACTTGGCTTCAACAAACCTTTCCTTGTAAACTCGCAACAAGAAGTATATGTGTGCATGCCGATCGGCGAGATGAGTTGTCGCGCGCGCGTGCTGAGCGCTCGCGCGCGCGAGATCCCAAGACGCCCAAATGGCTGCAAAATGATTCCAGGAGGGCCTGAGGCCAAAGGCGATAACGTCCAGCCGACCCTGGGATGACGCCACTCCAACACGATCCCGCCATGCCTTCTGGACCGTCTCAGGCCGACCACAATATGACTAAACAATGGCGCCACGAGTGACGCCGAGATGGCCCGATGGCAACAAGATGGATCTACGCGCGCCCAGGGTGGTCCCAGTATGGGCACGCGACGGCTGCGCGATCCAAGCATGACCGAGATATGATCTCAAGATGACCTCAAAACGACCCTGACACGCCAAGAATGCTCGCATGGCGAGATCCGTGAACGACCTGGGATATCTGTTTACCCCCACTTCTACTGGGTGGGATATTAGCTTGGCTGAACTAACACTATAATATTATGAGGGAGTAAGTCAGGCGGGATCCCGCCCGGCCCACGGCAGAAGACTACATTGCTAGGCTTCTACGGAGGGGAAAGGGGCTTGGACGGGGCGTCATTCACTCCCACTGTCTTCCGCAAACCTTCCGACGACCCTCCGCCTCGTTTAACTTCCGTCGGCTTCCGCGAGCGAGCGATGTGACGAACATTCAAGGAACTTTTACTGGGCCGATGTAGGTCGGGCATGTCCTCCTGCAGGCGGATTCTGGGGGAAGATTGAGCATACTCAAAGCAAGGTAATCACCCATAGTCAAGAAGAATCGGAACATCGTCCCCAGACTAAAATAATCAAGACACCAACACAAAACATCGCCAAAAAGGAATCGAACAAAAAGGTCAACCAAACATCACACATAGTCAAGAAGCCAAAACAAACAAACCGTCCCCAATCTTCTTCCTGTAGAGGGGCACGCCCGACCCAACACGAGGCGACGGCTGCACGCCTGGGCCGATGCAGGTCGGGCATATCCTCCTGCAGGCGGATTCTGGGGGAAGATTGAACATACTCAAAACGAACAAATCACAAACAGCCAAGAACAATCGAAACATCGCCCCCACACTATTTTTTTTGACTATCTTTGAACCCTCCTCCTGCAGAAGGGGCACGCCCGACCCCACACGAGGCGACGGCTGCACGCCGCGGCAGGCGCCCCCGGGAGGGCCGAGGCCACCGGCTCGGCCTCCGTGTGCCACCCCCTCCGCTGGAGGCAGGGAACCTGGGGGGACGGGGCAACAATCTCCTTAACAGGACTCGGGTCGGGCGAAAGGGGGGGATAGCAAAGGGGGGGTTTGAGAATCAGCTCACGTAGCTAATTTTCCTGGCGCCTCCCGGCGCCGGGAGGCGCCCATGTATCGAGGAATGGGCCCCTCGGTGGGGCCAAAACCAGCTGCATGCAGCAGATTTCGTACCCCCCCCTTTCCCAATCACCCCCTTTCGCCCGGCCCGAAGGACGGAGCGCCCCAACCATCCCGGCCGCGCGGTAGGGGATCTCCGCTGCAACCCCCCCGCGTCCATAACCGTGGCCCCTAAAACTTTGCGGCGTCTCGCCGCCTCGAGATCCTGTCCCCGCCCTTCAGGGCGGAGGGCCGGGCGGGCCTGAGTGACAAGACGTGGCCTCGCCGCATTTTGTGCTGTCCCCCTGAGAACCGTGAGGATTTTGGTTTTTAAAGGGTTGACTAATAGTCCCCGCTTCTGCACAAACCCGCAAAGGATATCGTGCGCTCTTAAGACTTTATCAGGCAAGTTTTGGGCGTTGCCAGCAAGAGGGATGGTAATATCATCCATGAATGAGATGTCGCTCGACTGAGAATCTGAGCGTAGTTTTGGTCGGCGCCCAAATCAGTTCTACCTGCTGCAGGGCAGCCGGTAAATCTTCAACGATTCCAAAGAACACAACATTAGACGCATCCCCAGCAGGGGTGGGTCCAGGGCGGGAGCCGGCGGAAGGGGGGATATCCAATCTTTAATAAAGGGGGGGCTTCCATTGGGAACCAGACTGCGACTCTTGCAGCAGGGCGAGAACGTGCGCAGTCTCAGCTGGCGCATTGAGGATCGGGGCTTGCGCGAGCTGCTCCTTGGCCCCCTGAACCATGAACGGACAAAACTCCATCGTTTGGTGGGCTTGCTCCAGAAGAGTCCTCGTCTCGCGGCAGTCGGAAGGCCAATTGCTTCGCAGTCGAAGTGAAGGCCGCAACTAGATCAATACAAACTCCTCCCGGTGGAAGTTTCTGAGCGCGCGCGGCGCGCCAATGTCGTCGACTGTAAAGCGCAGCAAGTTCAGCAGAGCATCCTGGGCGACCTCCGATCTGGGTGACGTTCAAAGCCGCACACATGAAATCAACAGCTTTTCGCCTCGCGAGGCGGTGATGCATTTTGGCCAAAGTGTTGCAAAGCAGTCTGTCACCCGAGCCTTCGTAGAACAAAGTCACCTCTCTTTCCCTGAAGTTGAGAGGCTTACGCCCATGAGCCGCAGTTTTAAGCGGGAGAGGGTGCAGAACCTCAGCGACGTCCACGCCGGGGAAAAGGTCAGGCCCAGCCAGTTTTCTGGGTTGGGGTGGCAAAGCAGGGCAGTGTAATCATACGCGGTAGGCATTGCCGTGGCGTCCACGAAGCGTGACGGTCGAACAAGTATTTGACTGGCACTGTTGTACTGCTGCAGCCTTGCCTCCTCGGTCATGGCCCTCCCTCTCTCAACTCTAGCAAAGTGGTCTTGCATGGTGTCCTGAACTTGGGATGGGGTCTCAGCAACAGCACCCTGCGAATCACGTATGCAAGGGGCCGAGAAGGCGAATTTAGGGGTCTGCCAGCAAACCTCAGAGTCCTCTGGAGGTGGCTCCATTCCTTGATCGGCGTTCGAAAATCAGTCGGGCCACGGGCCCCTTCTAGCTCTTTAGCTACGAAGACAGCTATG